ATTGTGCTCCCCGGTATAGGTGTCCGTCTACATGACTGCGATCACGTACTATTTGGTATACCATTATGATGTCTCCCCGTTACGTCCACAGAGAAATCAGATTCTGTGCAGTTGTTCGGAAAAGGGAGGTGCAGCAAACCCTTAGCAGTCTTCTTTACCCAGCGTCTTTTGAGCTTAGCGAGGCCGTGCTTTAACCAGCGTTGCCAATCCTGTTTGGCTTATCCGAATTAGAATGTACCTAGGCGTTCAGCACCCGGGCGAAGTTGGAGGAATGTACAATGTCGAGTACCCTTCTCAAGAGACCAACATACCGGTTGCCTCTTGTTATATCAAAATCTAACTGTCTGGAACAACGGAGAATAGTTTAAACGAGATGATGGGTTTCTTATTCTCGGAATATCTAATCATTTAGGCATAACACGGTTGTCTACGGGCCTGGTTAGATGCGAGTTTCCAAAGGAACGTTCCTAAACACACAACAATTGCTGCTGATGCTGACAATTGCGTTGTAAATATATATCATTACATACGTAAACTATTTCTGCAAGTTCCAAACGTTAGTTTGCGGAACGTGTTACATTGTTTGGCATCCTGTAATCGATTATGTCTACCAACCTCCCCGAGCAACCCACCATAAAACGTAGCAACTAATGTATGCTATCTACACAGTGTCAAGCACTACCTACAGGTCCAAACTTATGTGTGACAATTTTAATGTGCCGCAAGCTAATTGGTTACTGCCTGGACCTACGGTCTAAACGCGACTAGACGAAATGGTGTGCTCTATCCACTTCAATGGCTGTATCACATATGTCAGAGGGCCCACCGAAAATGCCAACACCGTAGATTCGGTATTCGCCATGAGGATCCTTACTACTTGTGCACTAATTAGCAGTCCACTACCGGGCTGTGACCACAACATGGCGTTTTGTATCGTGAACATATAACCAACTAAGCCACACCAGTACAAAGTTGCAATGCACCCATAACATTAACCGAATGACTGGAATACATTTAAAAAACTTATCTGCATTATGAATTGAGAGTCAGCATTCTAAACCAGCAACCCGACTATGGCTGCCAGCGAATTTGTCAACAAGATTGCTGCATATGCTGATGTACTGACACCTGTGACAAGGAGCCGCACCTATAGGCAATGCGACAAATATTTGCAACTGGAAAAGGCCAAAGGCAAACTGAAGAATCTTAAGGCATCTTATCACAGGAGCAAAATTTTCGAAACGCAACCATATATACATTAAGCCAAGGTAAGGTCTGGGACCTGTTTCCCAGGTTATGAATGAAAACACTGCGTAAGTTAGCTGTGGTTCGCTACCTGCATTAAAACAATGTGCGCAATCATGGCTGATGCCAACGCCAAGGCATCATGATCCAACGAATTTAATTTAACTATTCAAGAACATAAGTGGGAAATGATATGGAGTCTCTTCGTTAGCTAATTACACTGCACGCGGAGCACTCGGAGCAATCGTTATGTGGCGGGCAACCAAAATGTTAGGCAGCTGGGGACTCATTACCAACACGTTGTGAATGTGCCCTGCGATTCTCGTTGACAGCCTATTGTCAATACGACCGCTGTACTTGCGTTAGCATGTATTCCATCCACAAAACTGTCTTCAATGCTTTAGTCGGCTAGTTCCCTTAGGATAAGTTGGATTACATTGGTCAGGCATTTGGCCAACTTCTGATACGAGCGCCTACCATTGAAACAATTGGTGGTAAGGGGATGACGTCCTTGTCGATTTTCGGCAGTCCTTACAAATAAGGAAGCTGTGATGCTCGAGTGACCGGCTGTGTGAAAATATTTGCGTGATTCCATCCCACCGTCGTTAGGGTCTTTAGTTTACGCACGTCTGTTTTCGTAACCAGTTCGGTTTTATTGTTGTTGGTCACATCAAGAAGGAATCAACTACAGCCTGCGAGAACTTTTTTGCATTTTCAGGATGTAGCCCTGTTTCTGCATTATGACTACACCTAATTCCAAATCTTGTCTCAGTAGTACAACCTTTTCATTGTGTAGCTGTTGCGTTAAGGACGCGCAATGATCCTTCGTCATTGTACGTCACTTCTCGGTAACTGTTTGGTAATTTCGACCCTTGTAGTTGTAAAGCAACCGCTTGTCTCCTCATTGGTCTGTGTTCAACTGGGAAGATGTTCGTTCAAATGTGCAAACTGAGCCGCGACTGCTATCCACGACATGGATTTGATGGAGTAGATAAACTGAACCGTAGAGACAAGTTTTAATCAGGGGAAGACATACATGAGAACGAACATCCCGAGCTATTTATAACACGACACGCGCACGCAAAACGCCAGAAGAATGCATGAAATGGCGTTACTAAGAAAAGAAGAGCATTACCCAGTGCACGAATTCAATCGATAACTCTTTGTATGATACGTATATTTACAAATTATCAATGTAATGCTCAGATTTGTCAGCCAACTTGATGCTCGGTTTGCCCGCCGGCGTTTCGCGTACAGCGCAGCATTCGCCTTATGTTGTTTGCTAGCACATTGTCTAAAGTGCCGACTGTGATCCTGCAACATTCGTGCAAAATGCTCCGCTTCAATTCCTCAAGAGAGTTAGGCTTAGGTAGAATTTCGTCACATATATATTTACTCAGATATCCGCCACCCGCCCGCAGAAGACTTGTACGCGCGTTTCATTCTTTCGGGAATCATCAGCAGTACGAATTACATCAAACCCATGGTAGGGATCGAACCCGCATTTCGAATGTCGCTATTCCGTGGTTGGGACCACTGATCTACGGGGGACGGCAACGACAATTGTTAATAAGTGTGCCGGCTGTCTGAGTGAGTCTGAATGTGACGAAATTCTACCAATACCATTCAACTCCCTCTACTACTCTGCTCTAATCAGTACGCAGACCAAACTGCTTATAATTCCATAAGTTAATTGGCGGTTTAATGTTGATATTCTCGTCTCTTTATCAGGGGGCTACCCTGTCCTCTGGACGGCAGTAACGTGCAAGTCAGTGAAGAACGAGCGGCACTATAGCACATCTAGTAACTTATTCACGATGGTCGTTGCCGTCCCCCGTAGCTCAGTGGTCACAACTAAACTGAGAGCGATGCAATAGCAGGTTCGGGTCCTATCAGTGTCCGATGGATTGCGCACTGCTGACAATTCTCGAAAGGATGAAACGCAAGTACAGTGCATTTGCGGAATTGTGGTGGCTATCTGAGTGAGTTTAGACGTGACGAAATTCACCTATACCATCAATCAACCTACTACTCCTCTCCAAAGAGTTAGGCTTCGTATTGTAAACAAGCTGTTTCAAGTAACCCCAGGGGAAGAAATCCACAGGCTTCAAATCTCTCGACAGAGAAGTCCACTCTATATGTAATCCCACCCGACCCAACGGTAAAGAAAAACGTATGCTTGAGAAACTCTCGTATCGTTTGTGCATAGTGTGCAGGTGCGCCATCTTGTTGCAATCAAATGGTACTTAATAACCACGCGGCTTCCAGTTTCGGAATGGAAATTTTCCTGTAATTGCTTGCACGAGGATGCTAGAAAGCGTAAGGCATTAGTATTGGGAAACAACAACCTACTATCTACAATATCGAAAAAGCAAAATGGTAGCAAAATTTTTTGACCAGTTAACCCAGCCCACACCATGAGCCTTGCGCCATGTCGTATACGTGAAGCGCTGCATCGACGTGCATTAAACATTGCCCAAAACTGTTACTTATCCGCACCGTGCAAAGGGAAAGCAGCCTCATCGGTAAAAGGAACTGAATGGATGTCCATGGCACTTAAAAGCCTGCGCCAAAGATGAAGCCGCTTTTTCGAATCACGTGGGTTTATAGCCTGCACTTGCCGGGCGCTATACTTCCGGAATTTCCTTTCCTTCAAAGCCCTATGGACAGCATATCTGCTGATGTAGCAATGTTGGGTGAGTTTACGAATGCTTAGATCGCAGCTTCTGGACACCTCACGAATAACCACACAGCAGAAAAGTCATGCGTGGTGATGTGAGGCCGCCTTGTCATTTTGGCGTCGCACACGCTCCCAGTTTTCTCAAATTTTCTCACCAGCCTGTGAAGATACCGTCCGTTGATGGGCCACTTGGCACTGTGGATAGTAGCAACTACTTTCGCCACCCGAGGGTGTGGTAAACATTCTCACTCTTACTGAGGGCAGCATAGGCGCGTGATGGCAAAACGATCGGTAAAGAGTACGCTAGCATTCAATGCAAACTAATATACGCTTGGGACCTTGAGGTGAATGTGTTGAAAGTGACCACCATGAAACAAATAAGAGGATCATTGGGAAGAACGTTTGCACAAGTGCGACACATTGCACTGATGTGTTGTTGATCATACAGTAACATTAAATTATTCAACCCACAGTTTATCCGGATAATTGGTCCTTCATGTTTGGTATCCAACATACGACCGTAATCAAAATGCGGCCCCGTGTCAAGTGTTGCCCTGGGCGGACCGCCTACGCGCCCCCATACTGCGCCTCTGCAAACGAAACAACTAAATGTATTCAAAGCGGATTAGTCATCACTTCGTCTACATAATGCAAACCCCCGTCATTAAGAACGACCGCGTGTTGTAAGTCCAGCAACGACACCATAGCTCAATCACCGATAGTTGTTCATCCGAACTCAAACCAAGTGCACTGAAAACCAAACCGCATACAGCGGAGCTGCATCACCAGGTTAACAACGATGTAGATGACGTTCCTGATGAAAAGCGCTTGCTTGAATATACCAGTAAAGCATGTGAAAGTTTGGTCGATAGTAATTAAGGACGCAAGGTAAACGCTCATTTTGCCGCGAACAACACTAGAACTAACTTTCGACAGATCGCTCGCCTAATGTAATATGTGTAATGTAGAGAGTACCCATGGCTTCCGTATCCGGGCGTAAGTTGGGTCGTCAACGATCCAGGGGTTGAAAGGCGAAACTGATAATTGGTAGGCGGCTGGGTGTTTTCTTATTAACCACCTACTAGGAGTCGGAGGTGGATGGAGAGTGCGCCTGATTTATATATCATTGTTAGCTGCACGGTGTTGTCACAGCTGGCGATGGGGGACGGAGCCTGAGGTGTGTGTTTGGATGACGATAACACGCACGAGATATGATTGCGGCAGATATCCGGCTGTAACCGCAACATTTACCCACGTAGAATTGGGGTGGAGCGAAATAGCAACTTACACTTGTAAATGGCAAATGCCATATGAAAGCACGGGCTGCTTTGCGTCAAGCGGAGCCACTCATCCCTGTGCAGACGTTACAACCCGACGAGTAAATGTGGTTCGCCGAAGCGAGTACATTTTATTTACAGCTTCAAAGCACCTTCTCACCGCAACCTTGTGGTGTGTTCGATTACAGCTCACAACTGACAAATACCCATCCAGAAATATTTTCCTAGAGCGTGATAAAGGTTAGTTGTGCTTGCCCTACATGCTCTGCGTTTTCGCATGCAGCGTCCAGCCGCCTGCGTTGGTGTAACGGGTTGAGCAATCCGGCAAACGGCCACACTCACTACGCATGTCCGTCAAGTCCGAATAGTTCAATTTTCTTGTTTATTATGCTCTTATCAAAGTGCACTCACCCGTCATCATAATAAAGTAAGGACAACGCTCGCTTAGAACAGGTAGCTTACTGCCAATAGAATGTTTTACAGATCAGCCAAATGAACAAAACGTCCGTAATTCTTCCTGGCGTGTTGAACCATTTGTTGGCAGTGCTGCTGCGTCACTAAGGTCCGTGCATCAGGCACCGCGTGCTCAAAAAACAAATCCGCCACTCGCTTTTATACATAACTCCTTTAGGATCCCCCAGGAAGCATCTCGGAGTACCGTCGCCTCATTACCTGTTTTATATGGGCCTTTAGTATCGCTCCAAATGCAGTCGATGGTATTGAGAGCTGGAGGAGTATAGCGCAAGGCGTAGAATTTTCGCCGATATGTTCATGGGCGTCCTGGAACAAGGAAGGCTAAAGCAAACGATCACAAGTGTCGGTTTTTATTGCCTTTACGTAGACGACATTTTGTCTTGCTTTAGTCTTCTGGAAGTAACGGGGAACCAACGGACACGTTCAACTAATGCCATCGGGCAATAAATTTCACCTGCGGTGGCGAAAATCAGTCGCTTTCATTTCCTGGTTGTCGCTATGGAAGGCTTGGTGTGGGTGCGCTGCACCGTTGCGTCTATAGAAAAAATACGTGGAATAGACACTACACAAACGTCCACAGATTTGTGCCACTTAGGTTCAAAAGGAAGTTGATAAATATCCTAGTGAGCCGAGCTAAACGTACCTATGCAAACGACACGCTTTCAAAGGAATTGGAGTGTATTAACTTGGTGCTAAAGGAGAATGTCCTTCCGAAAACCTTCATCGTAGCTAACATGGAACATAAGAAGAAATAGCCTGTAGTTTTGTTAGTGAAACGCAATCAAATATTCTTACACTTGCCACACAAGGGCGAGGTTGCGGTGGAACGTCTATCTCGTCTTTCTTTTGCACTCAGTCGCACCTATCCAGCCACGCAGATGCTAATCCAGTTCGCTAGCATTCCGATGGGGAGACTATACTCAAAGAATAAGAGGGCTGTCCACGCCAACTCAATTTGTATATGTATTCACTTTCATGCTACTGTACAGCGGAATACATTGGTTGTACGACAAGGGATCCAACTAAGAAAACGAAGGAACAACTCCCGGTTGGGCTTAGAACTGGAGGCGGAAAAGCAGCCAACTCTTCAATAGCCGAGCATTTAGCCGATACAGGGCATGCCACAAATTTCTGACTTGTTCAAAATTATCTATCAGGCCCCAAAGAACCCATCGAACTACGTCCGCAAGCGGCTACTAGAAGCCGTTGAAGCAATTACGATCCGGCTGTATGAACCGGAGCTATGTGTTAAGAAGAAGTCAGCTAAGGGCTTTGGACTACTCTGTCCCAAACGGCCGGTGGTCTCTAACCAGCGAGGTCACACGCGGCAGGTTGGCCTGACTTAGCAGACACTGTCAGCATGCAATAAACCCGCCCTAAGGGTAAAGACTTGTAACATCTGTCTGCACATTTTGGTTTGCAGATAATTGTATAAGGAAGCAGATGGATTATCGAAGACTTATGTTCGCTTACCCTGACTTCTGATCATATTATGGGACTTTTAAATCTGTGCAGTACCGCTTAGATCTTCCTGTGTTAAAATCGCGCAAAAGATATTTGGGCATCAGAACCAGGATAGCGAAGGCGGAAAAATTTTTGATTTTCTAGCTAAGTGCACAGAAAGCAAAATTTACCGGACGAATTTCTGAAAATTTCTTCGTCACTCATACATCAGACTGAATAGCAATCGCTTGAAGTGCCTAGCATTGAACCAGATAGGTGACACCCGTAGCTAGAGGGACGAGCTCAAACGCGCCATGCGTCAGTCGTGTAGCGCAATGGACAGTCTCTCAACAAGAGACCGATCAGAGCTGGAGAAAACACTTAAGGAAATAATCACACAACAAGGATCCAGATTGCGCCATCAGCTCACATACACGCTAAAAACTAAGTAGCCGTCAACATCTTTTCCGGTGGAAGCATATAGGTATGTTCAGAGCTTGTCATGCCTGACGCTTGATCGTGTTACAATGGATGTTTTATGATTACGCTGTTAATACCGTATTCCTGCGAGGAAGGATAATCGACTAGCACTAGAGAACCAGTTTGAAAACGTGTGTACACAGACCTTTCAACTGATACATTGTGCTGAAATACATGTAGAAGAGTTTAAATCGTTTCTCGAACATGCATGTTACCAGTATCGATGTGCGAGGATAGTATATATCACTACGGGAAAACAAGAACACTTTGAAGCTCTTAACCTTCTGGTTAGCAGTTAAGGGTACGGGCGTTGTTTTCATGATGATAGTGGGCTACTTGAGCAAAATGACAGAAATACTGGCAGATGCAACCAAGTTACTGAAGCGAATGTTGCATTGTGAGCATGGTGACTGTGCCAGACCACACATGAGATCTCTTAGTGAGAAACATCAATTTGTTCCCAAATCGCGAATTGTTTAGAAAGACAATGGTTGACACTTACCACCTCCGTTTTTATAGCAAAGGTAGGGGAATCGCCACACATTGCCCAAACCGACAGATAGACCAACACAGGCGAAAAGAAAGTCAAAGCGGCTCTTCCATTGTTCACGTTTGGAGATGGAAATTTGGGAGCCACTCAAGCAGGGTTCACTACGTACAGTTCCGTCATCCATTGTTGGTATTTCTGGTAGACATGCGGGTTTATGCGCCGCGGATGATTTGAACCTGAAACCAAAAAGATGGACATGAACTGGCAATTTGGATGCACCGGCTCGTCTCACAATTCTACAGGTCTATGCAAATCCACTGCTTTTTACCGCCATTTTCAACGGATAAGTTAAAGTGTCTGGATAGGTTACATCATGGCTCGTTTCATTTTCAGCTCTTACGTGTTGTTTTCACCTCGACCGTAGTGGTATATCTACTGGAAGGGAATGACAATGAACCGTTTATTTGTAGCTATGCTACCTATGCTTCTATTGTCTACCACATTTTCCTTCTTCTAACACATAATTACTACCCTGGATCCATTTTGAGGTGCACTCACTAAAGAGTTGGATAGGACAAGAGTTGAAAACAGATAGCTAATGAGCAATCGAAATCAGTAGTAAAACATCCCGAAGCATATTTTGGTGATTGCTGAGTTGAACACCAGCTAACCTGACGCAATTACAATTTACTCAAGGCATCAGAGCTAGTCCACATTGAAATAGTAGCTGTGCACCGTAATCTCCTCTTGTGCACCAATCACCACTATTGACTGGTCAACATTACTTGTTGTCATGTGACCAAAACGACATTAAATTATACGATGCATGTATGCATTGGTGATAGGTGGAGTACACAGATAAATTAATAGTTGATTAATGTGCATCTGCGTAGACCTTCTGGTCCTCAGGGTCTCAACATTTAGACCAATTTTAGGCAGCGAAAATAAAATTCCGCAGTCCTTTCATCGTACGTTATTGGTCGTAAGTACGAATTTCTGACAATGTTTACCATTCACACATGGCGCCAGTCGATCTACATGGCTATTCTAATTTGTTTCATAGGTCACTTCAATAGGAAAATGGTGGGTGTTGGGTAGTTAGGCAAATAATTAACAAGTCTCTCAGGAGGGCCAGAATGAGAAACGCGAATTGGAGAAAGAAACCATAAAAATAAATAGAGACGTGTTTTGGTGGATTTACATTGTTCACACAGAGGCATAGACAAAATATTCCACTTCGATTGGGCAGGTTAGTGCAGGTTATCCCATTATATCGTCTGTCTATATGCCTAGGATATCTCCTAATGTAGGTGGATTATGATAACGTCAAGGCGTTTCTACGAGCGGAAAAAGTGCGGGCGGTAACAACGTAACTTGAGAAGTCGTTCAATGGATGATACACACGAAGAGACTAAACCTTTCACAGACATTCTAGTCGAGTTTGTTGCGTGGCCAAATTAAACTAGTGGTTCCTCAACTTCTTGTTGTGTCTTAATTGCGAGAGTTTACTGCAGAGGTGGTTGGGGCTCCACAGAAGTTGCTAGGCCATAATAAGGTTGCCGTGTAGACGCCGACAATAGCCACTGTTCCAGTTTAGGTTCTTCAGCCTAAGTTGATATATACTGTGAAGCAACCCTTTGACAAGACTGGTGAATGTTTGCTGTGGCATCTCAAGCCCTGCGGGATCTTGCTGGTGCCATGGCTGCCTGACTTGGATTGCGTATTCCGCATGGGACCGCACGTGAGTGGTGAGCGTCTGCTTATAAAATGATAGATCAAACCGCCCGAAAGCCCTCCGCAACATAGACAGGTTGGTTCCCAGTCTTTGACGCCTTTTCAGATTGTTTTGATTAGTCCAAGTCATCCTGGATTTATACCTCATGGTCGCGCTCCTGAGTGACTGCTTGTCAGCCATCTGCTTCAAGCATGTGTTGGTTGTTCGGACGATGACAAATGTGGACTATTTCTTACACATTTAGACGAATTAACCTAGAGCAGATTATTGTGGAATGACAATCTATACTACCTGTCCATGTCTAGTTAACGTGCATCATTATCTTATTGGTCGGCGACACACTGCACAATCTTAATGTCAGCCTTGAAAAACATATCCGAAGCAATCAGAGGCGGAGGCTCAACACCGAACACAAGAAACAGACGCTGCCCCAGCATTGGTCCCTGTGGAACATCACACTGGACATAAATCGGATGTTAAAACGTACTCCAAACTCTATTCTGCAGTTGCCGATTCTGCAAATGTTTCTGTCCTATCCAAGGATTGCACACACAAATCCATAGCTCTCGAGCCTGGTAGGCTGAATGCAGCCGTCCAGATGGTAGAAGGTTTGGAAGAAGCAGAAATAAGTGACGTGGGTCCCTCTACCTTTGGCGGCCGCTTCTGTGGGTGCAATCAGCAGGTTAGTTGTGAAAAAGTGACTTTGACGGTAACCGTTCTCCTTCAGTGCTATGATGCTTTCTTTTTCGCTGTGATCGACAAAATCCTCAGCGATGATTGCATCCATCACCTTTGTGAGTCCAGGCTGCAGAACCACGGCGCGAGAGTTTGCCGGTTGCAAAAGACTGCCGCATTTAAAAATTATCTTGATTAGACAATCTTTCCACATAGTAAGCATGAGTTTTTATACGAGCAGACTTAAACGAAAAGTGACAATGGTCCGCCTACCGTCGCTGTTTCTACTTTCAGCACCATAGGCCGAATGTTATTGATTTCGGGAGAACTGCAGCTTCACAGTGAAAACAATTTCTGCAACACATTTATGGCAGTAATCGTGAACAAATAACGAGGAATTAATACGGATTATGAAGCTTTGCTTTACAAGTCCCGTTGGATAGTTGGTAGAGATATCGAAATAATAATAATGATAATATAAGAAATAAGTTCCCGAGGAAGTTTTAGCAGAAAAGATAACACAAGAGTACCGCACGATTTAATTCCGGAACAATTTCTTTGCATATTTTCAAGTGCGCACTACAGACGTGTGAATTTATGGCATCATCCAGCAAGCGCAGTTAAAATGGCATATTGACCAAACTGAAAACACCCATATTCATGACACCTTGTCAGCTGTTATCTGCCTGCTACCACGGCAAAGTCAGGAGGAGTAGTAGGGGCAGTTGAATGGTATAGGTAGAAATTCGTCACATATAGACTCCCTCAGACAGCCGTCACACGCACGCAAAAGCAAAGTACACGCGTCTCATCCTTTCGGGACTCGTCAGCAGTGCGCATTCCATCGGAAATTGGTAGGACTCGAACCCGCAACCCGATTGTTATCACTTGAGATGCGGCCACTGAGAAACGGGGGACCGTAACGAACATCGTGAATAAGCAACTATAACTTTTACGACTCAAGAAAATCCATAAAGGAATCAAGCTCCTCCCTAAGAATATCCAATTCAATTCATAAGCACATCAAGTTGAATCCAAATGGCGCACACGCACAAATGCGTGCCCATCGTCTTGACCGATTGCAAATCGGTACAAGAATACTCAGAACATCTGCATCGGTTAGTGCGGCAGTTAGACTGCGCAAACCAAACAAACAACGTGATGCACATGCGGACGTGAAAACAACACATGAGCTCATTCACTGTAGGATAGGTGCGGACTAGCACGCGGCATCTATGGACGGTTGAGGAAGTATTGTAACTCTCACCCACCCACTTATGCGGCATCAAGACACACAACACAGAAGTGGGCGGCCATCCGCGTTCATAGTGTTCACTGTTACGCGCAGACGACCGGACATGAAATGTACTCTACAATGGACAGAATCGATTGCTTTCACTGAAACTAGCTGCATGCATGCTACCAGGCAGGTTCGTTAACTTCATGTGGTGTGACCTAGACTTAGCGGTGTCTATGTGTGATCGAGTGTGGTTAATAGTGCCTAGGTGAAATAATTAATGCGTGCGGCGCCTCAATACGCGCTATCATGAAAAAATGCGTTTGGTATCGGTGGGTGTGGCCGAATTACCTGTTAACTGCAGTTGATCGACCTTAATGATGAGGTTAGCATCAGCATCCGCACAGCAATGCATGATGTACTGCACCGAGCTTTGCGGAAGAATACCGCGTTAATTGTGATAAGGTTACCGGGTTGGCAAAAGTTCGCATTTACTGGTCTACATGCAATCGTTAGTATAATGTAGTCGTTGACAGAGTGAAGAAATACGTTTGTAAAGAACCGTCAAGAGTTCGTGTGAAACGAAGATGAAACAATGATCTATGTTAACGTTAGCGCACTCCTCACCAAAATGCCGAAACGAGACGCACTGGGTATGGTAAAACGCTGTTTGACTGAAAAGATTAACCTAGGGAGTGACCGAAAATTAAGTTGGTTGAAACAACCGAGAGTAAGACATTGTGCGGTATGTTGTTCTAGCTCGGGTTTCAGTCGGAAATAGGCGCTCAAGAACATGATGTTATCATTAGATCGTCAATGTCCACTATGTTGTACATAGTACTGGCAAACTCCAGTAAATGGCCACAAGTTGTTGGTATCAAGTAGATGGCACATCTTGAACATAAAAGTGGATAAGAAAAGCAAGTTTGTGAGGAATCTGAAATCGCTCACCATAGAGTGGCACATCGCCATTCCTTGACTGCTCAGTTTGCAAGAATGATTAGCTTCCGAACCGATATTTCGTCAACCGACGGACATAGATGGGACACAGCACTACAATTCCGATCTCTGTGTTTCACAGATAAGGCCATGTGCACAGAGAAAGAATTTGGGAAAGCCGCTTGCAAGTAAACTGTAAGGTAATTGCTGAATAGTGGACACACGAAACCGGTAGTGAAAGACACGTTTCACAATGTGCTAAAACCTTATTGAGATTATACAGCGGAATGGATTTGGACGATAAGAATATTATAGGTAGAAGGAACTTCCTTTCGCTTTCCGACGGCACTAACCAAGGAATAAAACTCGGGATCTGTTCAACAATGGTGTATCTGAAAGACACACTTTTCGTAGATAAGATGACTAATTGTGTTCACAAATGTATTCACAATAACTATGAATATGTGTGTATAGGAGATATCGCGAGCGAACTGCACACAATACTGCTGGAACACCTGAGGCGCATGTCACGGCGACGTCTAAGTATAATGCTCTACTATGAGATTCAGCGGTGGCGACGCACGTGTTAGGTACAGTGCATGTAAGGTGGTCAGATTATTGGTGAGCCAAACCGAGACGCTTCCAGATT